TGTATTTTCTTAACTATTGACGTTTTTAAAGATATAAGCTCATCCTGATGTTACGCTCATTGAGACCTTTCATTTGAGTACTCACATCAATTTTTCATATATTTTATATATGTATATATGAAAAATATATCAATAATGCATGTGGGTACTCAAATGAAAGCTTTTGATGAGTGTAACATCAGGATGAGCTTATATTTTTAAAAACGTCAATAGTTGAGAAATGACATTGTATTTTGTCAACTAATGATATTTTTAAAGATATAAGCTCACCCCGACATTACACTTATCGAGACCTTTCATTTGAGTACCCAGATCAATTTTTCATATATTTAATATATTATATATATGTATATATGAAAAATATATCAAAAATGCATGTGGGTACTCAAATGAAAGCTCTTGATGAGTGTAACATCGGGATGATTTTATATTTTTAAAAATGTCAATATTTAAAGAAGTACAGTGCAATTTAACAGATATCTTGTGAATTATTGACATTTATAAAGATATAAGCTCATTCCGACATTACACTTATCGAGACCTTTCATTTGAGTACCCAGATCAATTTTTCATATATTTAATATATTATATATATGTATATATGAAAAATATATCAAAAATGCATGTGGGTACTCAAATGAAAGCTCTTGATGAGTGTAACATCAGGATGAGCTTATATTTTTAAAAACGTCAATATTTAAGAAAGTACAGTGCAATTTAACAAAAGTCACATAGTGCCTGCAAGGTTGCTAGTTTATTATTAATTAGTATGATAAATTATTTTTGAATTTATTTTTTACCTGGACTCTAGCTTCAGTTAACTGTATTCTCAATGCCAGCTCTTCACGGAAGAAGACATCTGGATAATGCGTTTTTTGAAACGCGCGTTCTAATTCTTCTAATTGGAAGTTTGTAAATGTTGTACGGTACCTTCGTTGTTTTCTTTTTCCAACTCCGATTGTTATTTGGTGACGTTCTTCGCTCCCAGGACTCGGTGAAAAATCGTATGCTTTTAATTTAAAAATTTTAATAAAATATTTTAAATAGAAAATCAATAATTAAAATAGATAATTCATTTTTTTTTTAATTAAAATTTTTGACTAATAATTTTTTTTTAATTATCACATGTCGAATTTTGTTATTAATTTTTTTTTTTTTATAATTATTTCATTGCTATAAAATTATAAAAACATTTCTAATGTCTTTCAACTTCAGTGTCGTATAAAATTATTATAAAAAAATTTAATTAAAAAATTCTAACAAATTTATTTACTCAAGAAACTAAAAAATCGAGAAAATTGTCAAAAATTTTATTTTTTAGATTGATATATAAGGAATGTCTCTAGGAAGGTTGTGTAAAAATTAAAAACCGATCGATCAAACTGTTTTGAAGAAATCATGCTCATCGGCTTTTAAATACCGTTTTTCGAAAAAAAATTTTCAGATTGATTTTGAAATTTTTAGAGAATGTACTCAAATATATGTGCATCCCGAAAATGCGAAATTTTGATTTTTTTTTAATTCAGTTTTTAATACTTACATTTTTAGTAATTTTTTACCAGCAGAATAACATTTCAATGAAGAAATAACGATACAATTTTTTATGGAAAAAATTTTCATTTTAAAAAAAATATTTATAAGTTTTGTCATAGTTAAGAATTAAAAATAAAAATAATTTACTGCTAACGAGTGAAAAAAAAAATTTTTTTTTTTTATTAAATATCATCCTGCAGTTTATTTAAAATGAAGAAGTGTTTATTCACACTTTATGATTTATCAGGACTTTTTTTGAGTGTAAATAGAGATTTTCTTCTTACAAAAGATTTTTTTTTCAGTTTTATTGACTGAATAATTAAAATTTAAAAGAATATATACGTGAAAGTATTTATTAAAATCTACATATACTTTTTCCTTAAAAATTTACTTTACTTATATATCTATTTCTATACCAGCAAAGTTCCAAGACCTTGATTTGAGATTATGCTATATAATCCAATAACATACAAGTTACCTATTTTATTCCAAATAATTTCAATTGAAATGTTTAATTTAAAAACTAAATTTTAATGGAAATTTAATTTTGTAAAAATTTATTTTAAAATGTATAAATATTTATCTTAAAAAATTCATAAAAAACTTGAATTTTTTCCCAATAAAAAAATACAATTACAATTAACATTAATTGATAATATTGACACAGAAAAATTATTTTACTAATAAGTAATTATTTTTTATAATTAAATAGTTCAAAATTTTAATTATAAATAAATAAAATAAATCAATATTTTAATTATACTGAAGATTAAACCGGAAAAATTGAAAATCTAAAATTGAACTAAAAAGTAATTACACAAACAAACATAAAAAAAATTTAATCTCCAAAAACTAAGAAAATGGAAAGAGGAAAATAAAGTATTTCTTCTTTAAAATTTCCAAAGTCTAAATGAAAAAAAGGTAAGAAATCGAGGAACTTAACTTCTCAATAAGTTAATGTATTTAACAATAATTTAATTGAATCCCTAAATTACGTTATACGTAATTTGAGTGGGGTAGAGTGTTGGCAACTTGGGGTACCATCAAGCCTCGAGGTAAAGGAGAAAGTTAGTTAATTAGATAAAATATAACAAGTCAGACGGTTTTAAAACCAGCTACCTGCAATGCTACGTCTATTGACGTATATTTAAAAACAAAAATTAAATAAGAGCTAATACAATAAGCAATAAATACAATATTAACTTACTGAATTTAGTTGGAAAGCAAACGGCTGATTGTCCAGCCATAAGACCGGCTATCGTACTCGATGACAAGTCATTGTTAATATCTTCATTAACATTATCGGTAACGATAACGTCCGTAGACACCAAAGAGTCACGGGGTGTGTTTACTAAATAAAGTTCACGGGTTTCAACGACATTGTCATCGTCTTCAGCTTTCAGGTCCATTGTCGGGAAAAAGTCTTCTCCAAGACTATTGTCTTCCTCCTGATGATCCGTTTTTGATGTTTTATTACCGGCTGTCAACCGGTCGATCAGTTTTTATTTTTATTTCTTCTCAAATCTCATCAGTGCAAAAAAAATTTAAAACAAACAACATCAAGATAAATTTAAACAAAAACAAAGTAAATATCGGTGAGTAATTGAATCACGAGTTGGTAATGCACTACTGGCTATCGTTCAAATGCTTGGTATATTTTTTTCTTCTTTTTTCTTCATACACATTTTGTCGGCCTCTCCCTATAAGAGTGAATATATTTGTTATTTCTTTCTAACTAAACCTTTCTCTGTTAGCTTCAGTTTTGTTTTTTTTTTTTTTTTTTTGCTTACTTTTCTCACCTGTACTATGGACGTGGACAGTGCTAAGTCAGCAGAAGGGGAAGCTGGGGGGTTGATATGACACACTGAGTTGAGGTTCTTACAAATAGGCTTCATGATGTGTCCAGGGGCTGCCCTGAAACCTTATCTATGCTAACAATCGATATTAAAAGTTATCTTTTTGTTATTTATTTATTGAAAATTTTTTTTAATTTAATACAAAATGTTCATCATTTTTAAAAATTATAACAAATAATTCTTCTTACTTAAAATTTAATTTAAAATAATGCAAATATTATTTTAGCTTCTATACATAATTTTTTTATCAATTTTTAACTGCACTACTTTAAATGCAAGTTCAACTGCTAATTGTTTGGGATATTTTGTAACTTTTTTTATTTGAAAAATTATATTATACTAAATTTATTTTTTTAAGTGTGATCCAACTTCTGCGGTACAATGCAGTGGTGAATCGAACTCATGCCAAAGGAAATCAAGAAATTTATTTTCTTCTATACAAAAAGATATAAACTATTTAGAAAATTATTTTAAAGCATTCTATGCGAAATTTATTTCTTTGAAGATTTTTTTTTAATAAAAAAATTAGAAAATATATTATTTTATAGCATTGTTAGGCAATTTTTGCAGGATTAATAAAGATTGTGAAGATATATTACATTCAAAATGTTCTGAAAACCATCAATGTGCTAGTAAGCCGAAGTATATTCAGCTTAACAACACGCATTGTGCTCCATTACTTGGCGAAGTTTGCTGGAAAAATGAAAAATTCACCACTGAAAATGCTGTCTGTATTGAATCTGAGTGTCGATGTAAACCACAATTTATTAAATTGTCTATCCTACAATGTGTTCATACTGATTTTTTATTAATTTTTTTTAGGTATGAAAATTAAGGGGACCGGGTGGTCTAGCGGCCTAAAATTTAAGCTATTTTAAAAATTTTATTCCTATATGAAGATAATGACTAATGCTTTCAAATTTTTTTTACACTTATTTTATTACTTATCAACTACACAAAAATGAAAATCAAAACAAAAAAAAAAATTTTTTTTAAGTAGAAAAATAGCGCTTAAGTTCCGCTCTCCAAAAAAAATGGACCTGACTGGTTCAGGTCGATTGATCTCTCCCTCTGATCTGAAATAAAAAAAATGACGGATTTTTAATTAGTATAAGTATAGTTATTGTCGGAACTAGAATGAAAAAAAAATATTTGACAAAATGGCGCGTAGTTAAAAGTACGAATCTGAAACTCGTTTTCAAAAAATTCTTTTAACTACGTGCCATTTTGTCAAATATTTTTTTTTTTCATTTTAGTTCCGACGATAACTATACTTATACTAATTAAAAATCCGTCATTTTTTTTTATTTCAGATCAGAGGGAGAGATCAATCGACCTGCACCAATCAGGTCCATTTTTTTTTTTAAGAGGGGAACTTCAGCGCTATTTTTCTAATTAAAAAAAATTTTTTTTTTTTGTTTTGATTTTCATTTTTGTGTAGTTGATACGTAATAGAATAAGTGTAAAAAAAATTTGAAAGCATTAATCATTACCTTCATATAGAAATAAAATTTTTTAAAATAGCTTAAATTTTGAGCCACTAGACCACCGGGTAGGGTCCCCTTAATGTTGTTTATTGAAACTATCAGATTATTTCATACATATATTTATATTTTTCCATATTTTACGACAATATAACTTAAAAAGTAGCGGAGATATCAGCTGATACACATCGTAGGTTATCTTCCGACTTAGCAGTTGGTGTGCACTATGGAAGTCACAATTTTTATCTGAAATCAATGGCACAGGAAAATTACTTTTCTTTAAACAATCACGTTGAATATGAAACTCCATCATAAGCGATACTTTTATTTAGACTATTTTTTTTTAATAAACAATGAATGAAAAAATGGTAAAAAATCACGACTTAATTTCACAGCTCTCCAAAAAATGAAAATGTTTACTTTTTTTTTTAGAATTGAGGTTCATATAGAAGATGCAAGTTATATTGTTGTTTAATTCGGAAAAATACTCATAAATATATGTATAAAATAATCTGATACTTTTAATAAATAACATTCATTTTTATACCTTAAAAAAACTAATGAAAATCATCAGCATGAAAACGGTCTTCTACACGTATTTCCCCCCTTAATCCAATAATAATAATAATTAATAATTATAATAGTGACTCTTGATTAATTTTTTTTTATCAGAATTTTAATCAGACGACGGTTTCTTTGGTTGCAGAATTAACTTCTGCGAGCTAGTCATTATGCTGATAATATTCTTCAGGAAGAAAGACTGCCACTCATCGACGGGACAAATTAGATCCAAAACAAGCAATTCGTATCCCTGGTCAAAAATCGCGTCACGATAGCTTGTTTCTTCAGAATCGGTCGTTTTGTGGTCGTAAATTTGCTTAAAAAAATCAAATTCAATCAACAGCACACCACCTGTACGCTTCCATTCTTCAAAATCGCTCGTAAATTTATTTTTTAAAACATACAAAAACATTTTAGCTTCATCAGGCATTTCTTCTTTGCGAGCGCTTAATTTTTTGAACCAATTTTCAATTTGACATTGCGATGTAATTATTATTATTTTAGCATCTTTATTCCTTTCGTAAACAAATTCAGCTGCGCATGAGGCTATGTTGATGAGTTTGTCTTTGTCAGTAGCTTCACCGAAGAGATCTATAGGGTTATTGTTTTCTTCTATGGATGATCCGATGATTTTCCCGATTACAGTAAATATTTCTTCTTGGTCTTCATCCGAAGAATTTGACGAGTAATATTCATCATCTCCCTCAAAATCATTCTCTTCATCTGTATAATTTTCTAATGAAGACGTGTCTATATGCAAATATTCATCTTCATCCTGTTCTTTTCTTTCTTCTTCTTCTTCTTCTTCTTCTTCTATTTTTTCTTCTTGTTCTTTGTCATCTTCTGCTGAATTTTCTAATGACAAAACTTCATTAACCTTAGCCTTTTTAGTCGGGACTTCTTCTTCGGAAGACAAGCGACGTTTATGTTCGTTAGATGACTCACCACTGAAAGAAGACAACTAATTAGCATCTGAGTGATGATAAAAAAAAAATCAATGTAACAAAAAATTACTACACTACCTCAGTAACTGCGGGTGAAATTTAACCTGAGGTAACTCTTCCTCTGAGTCATCTACTAAGTCGAGTACAGGAACATATTTCAAGCTAAGTTCGGAAACTTCTCGTAAAAAATTACCGGACATAGCTGTCAGACTTTTAAAATCTTTGTGGAGTTTTTTAATTACATTAACATAAGTCTTTATTGCTTTGCAACAATTACTCGGCGTGCCATCTTGAAATGTCGGCACATCAGTGGTTAAATAATTAGACAATCCGTTCAGATTTAGGCATAATTTTTGTATGTGGTTATTTAACTTTTTCACCAAACGATGCTGGCAAATACGTTTCTTCTTATCAGCTCTTTTATTTGGTTTCATTGTTGTTAATTGTTTAACACTTTTTTAGGATCAGTTTTTAGTAGGTTAGTTCTCTCATGGTTTTGATATATATATAATGGTCGATCAACAAACATTTTTTAATATGACACTGAAGTTAACTGACATTAAAAATTTTTTTAGATTTTTATAGCTATGAAATTATTATGAAAAAAATTTAATAAAAAAAAATTCCAGTGAAAATTAAAAAAAAAACTCAATAGTAAAATTTTTTAGAAGCATTTTTTTTATTGAGATTTATTTTGTTGTAAAAATATTGAAAAAAATTGACAGTTATCAGCTAACTTCAAGTGATATGATCATGAATTATTGACCCAGATATTTGATTAGTTATTTTATAGATTTTTTTAATTTTCTAAATTTAGTAGCTAGTATAAAAATTATAAAAAATTTTTATTTTTGTTTTATGAATTGCCTCAAATAATTACAGATTGTTGAAAAATATTATAAATTTATAAATATTTTTATTAACATTTTTTGTACATATAATTAAATATATTTTATGTAAGTGTATTATTGAAATAAATAAATTTTTTTTACTATCTTACAAATATTTAATATTAACTTACAATAATAGTTAATTGAATAATGTATCTAATTATTTCTAATAAATTCATTCAGTTTTTAATGATGATATTCTCGGCGGATAATTAATAACATGAGTAAGGAATAAAACTAGAAAGCTTAAAAAAAAAATTTTTAATTAAACACTGAGAGAAAAAATGGGCATTTTTGTGACAAATTAATTTATTTAAAATTTTAAACAAATTTATTTTTTAGCTGAAGAAAAAAATTATTTTGATTTGAAAAAAAAAAAAAAAAAAAAATCAATTTTAGATAAACAACTTGTTAATTTTTATCCAAAATTTTTATTTTCCAAATCTAGAAAACTTTTTTTCCAACAAAAAAGTTACGTGAAAAAAATCTTTATTTCTTCAGCTAAGAAATAAATTTGTTCAAAATTTTAAACAAATTAATTTTTTTATTAGAACATTGTTCATTTTGTTCAAAAGAATTTTTTTTTCTGTGTACAATTTTAAAATTCTATTTGTCGAAATATTTCACCCAAAAATAAGTAATTAGTGAAAAAAAAATTTTTTTTTCACCTTTCATGTCTTAAATTTCAGATAAATTTTTAGCAAATCAATTAATTAATTAATAATAATAATAATAATAATAATTGAATTAAAACTAAAAAAAATACTATTAAAATTGCGTGATCCAAAAATAATAACAATAAATAAACTATTTACTAGTCTGCAAGATTAATTTAAGAGAACAGAACATATCATTAATAATATTTTTAATATCCTCAGGCACATCACCATCCAGTGGAAGGTTTAAATCAATAATAAGTAAATCCGGACTATGGCTATTGATAAGATTATACAAGGACAGTTCAGTTTGATTCCGTTGAAAAGCGTCGAAATCAACGAATAAAACACCGCCATTGAGTTTCCACTCTTTCCAGTCGTCAACTGTTCCATTGTTATCAAGACTATACAAATTTACAATATCACTAGGAACCTGGAATCTCCAAGCCAGGAACCTGCCAAACCACGACATAATCCGGGTGGATGATGTGATAAATATTATTCTGTTGATTGCTGTCAACTCTTTGTGTTTGAACAACGTCAACGATAATTTTGTAATGTAGATAAATTCATCATCATCCACAAATTCCATGCATATTGTTTTGGAACTCCTGCTGTATTGAACGTCGTTGTAGGATTCTTTCCAAACTAAGTCAATCTGTTTGGAAAAGCAAGTCGATGAAGGATTATTGTGATACATTTTAGGTATAAGTATTTTGTGTTTGAATGTAAATGAGTCGTTGTTTATCGGGACTCGCTTGATTCTGGTATTGCAATTGATATCTTCTTCCTCTTCTTCTTTTTCGCTGGATAAGAGGTAATTACATTCATGTTTTTGATACTTCCTATAAATGAACATGGATTATCATTTGGTAACAATTATTATTTGATTGATTGATAAAAATTTATTAAAGTAAAAATTTTTTTTAATTTTCAATACTGATCATTAGTTTCAATTATTTATTCAAAAAATTTCGTTCCAATTTCAGATTTCCAGCAACTGTAAAAAATAGATAAGCTTAATTTTTAAAGTTTCATCACTTCATTTTTCAACAGCTGAAAAAACTTTTTTGTTAAATAAAAATTTTCAAATTTTCCTTATTGAATTTAATAAAAAATTTAAGTGACTTTAAGTAGCCGTTAGAATTTTTTTAAAGCCTTAAAAAAATCTAATTACTAATTTTTTATGTAAATTAATTTAGCATATATTTAATAATTTTGTAACAAATAAATTATGGCAAAAAAAAATTAACATGTAGAAATTTGAAAAAATAAAAAATGCAATTTTTTAAAACAATTTTTTTTTTTTAATAATTTTTTTGTTAACTAAAATTAAAAAATTGTTAAGTGACTGCTAACTTTAATGTCATAATTTTTTTAGATGCTAAAGAATTGTAAATTCTTTTATTGACAATAACAAAATTACTAATGAGAAAATTAATTAAAAGAATAAAAAAAAACTTGTTTTAAAATTAAAAGAAGAACATAAAAATCGATTGCATTGATTAATGCTAATTTATAAATTCAAGATAAAAAAAAATAAAATAATTACTTCAATTTAAATAAAAATAAAAAAAAAATACTTACTAAATTACAGAAAAAAATATCTCAAACAAGTGCATGAAGACTTAAAAAATATTGTAGTGACTAAAAAATAAAAAAATTACCTTCGATTTATCGCAAAAGTATCTTTAGCACCAAAATATCTCATTGGAAAATCAGTATTTATTCTTTGAGAAGTTAAGCCTTCCAATTGGGTCTCAGAAGCTGGCACTAGCTGGTCGTCAAACAAAGCTGTTATATCCAGAGGATCAAAATTTTCATCATCTGGGTCCAACAAATCAATCAGATTGTCTACGTTAAGCGATTTTATTTTATAATTTGAGATTTTTTGGACGAAATCATTAGACTTTTTTTCAAGACTTCTCAATTCTTGGTCCAAACACCTGACAATAGTCAAGTAATCAATTACTGTATTCAAACGCTTGTTATAATAAATATTCTCGTTATTTTGGACGAAAGTTTGTTCGAAGGCACTTTGTAAATTGTCGTTTAGATTTTTTATTTCTTCTAAAGAAACTTTTATGTGATCTTTCAGTTTCTCTGCTAACTCTTCTTTAGAAATACTTTTGATTTTTTCAGGATCATTTTTACAATTGAGTGACCGGTGAAAAAATAAAGATTTCAAGCGATCCATCGTGCCTGCTAAATTTTATAAATTATTTAATTATTTAACAAGCAAAATATTTAAAAAAAATTCATACCTTAGTCATACAACTGATAATCCACTTTCAGTTAATTTTTTTGGACGATTCATTAATGAGATTCAATTTCATATATAACCTTATTATCAGTTTTTTTTTTTAAATAATTCTTAACAACACCAGCAACAAAAAATTATTGAGAATTTTATTATAACTTATGAATGATAAATAAATAAGATTGTTGATTATGTTATTGTTGTTGTTACGAGCCAACTGCTGATGCCAAGTGTTTTCAAACTTTTTCTGAGTAAACACAAGGCCAAGGCCAAGCTAGAGAGATTATTTATAAAGGTGAGTGGAGAAAGTTGCCGGTAAAATAGACATTTTAGTCTTTTGAAGTACAAATTAAAGTTTTTGGGCGGGTATTATTTGGAAATTTGGGTCACACTATAATAAACAATTCCAATTTATTAACATTTATTTTTAGTCAGTGATTTATATTCAATTATTAATTATGTTTATTACTATCTTTTTACATAATATGTTGTATACATTATTGATTTCATTTTTAAATATTTAAAATTGATTAAAATATTTATAAATGAAGTATATTTAAATAATCTTTACTTGGGAATTCAAATGAGAACAATTATTATTATAATTTCCGTCGGAATCAGCCAATTGATTTAACATCAAACCCAAAACAATGGAAAGTAGAATATTAAGTCTAATTGACATAGTTGGAATAATAATGATGGATTAATGAAGACGATAGGTTTATTTAATGAAGATAAAAACTATAATACTCTTTTGTAATGAAAAACTCGTCCGCGAGAATCAATTATAAGTAATAAAATAATCTTAAAATACTATAAGTAAAAATAGCAAATATAATTGTCCAATAATAATTACAGTATTGAGAAACAAGTCTGATAAAAAATCGATAGAATCGATGCAACATACACTGTGTAATAAAGTTATTTATTTTTTTATAATTACAAAATCATTTTATAGCAGTTATTTTATTTTTTTTTTTATATGATCACAAAATGTTTTATTTCAGTAATTGCTTTAAAGAATTTTTTTCCTTATTTTTTAATTTGATTTTATCTACTAGAAGAAAAAAAAATGTTTTTTTTTCTCATTCGGATATTAGATTCAATAAAACTTTCAATTTTTAATTCTCAGTTTCGATTAAAATTTAATGTTTCAATTTTTTCTTAACACGCTTTTATTAGCATAATAAATTAATATAAACGGAATCTTTTAACATAATTTTTATCGACTTCAGGAATAAAAATATGATTCATTTTACAGATTAAACGTATACTATCCATAAAATGATAGTAAATATTGTTCTTCTTTTAATTATAAGTCAAATATTACAATTTAACAGGTTTAATTTTGAATTGTAATTAAAAATTTTCAATGAAATAATAGTTTATAAAACTTAAAAATAATTTTCAACAAATTTAAAATGAAGATAGAATGATCAACAAAAAAATTCATTATATTATAAAAAATGTAGGTCTTTTTTTTTTAATTATTTTAATAACTCAAATTTTACAAATATCTTCTAATAAAATAATTCCAATATTTGAAAATCGTTTTCTACTTTTAAGTTTTGTTTCCCATTAAAGTGTACTTTTTAGTTTTTTAAATTTATTATCTAAAAAATGTAAAATCCTGATGATTTGTTGATTAAGAAAAGAAAATTTGTGAACACATATTGTCAGCGATAAAACGAGTATTTGAGTTGCATTGACAGTAGAAATCAACACAAGAGGAATCTTTAATTGTAATACATTGTGTGTCAGCCCAGCACAGTCCGCGGATAAGTGGTAAGCATGTTGATTTATTAATAAGTATACTTTGTGCATTACAACCACATTTTTTATTTTCCAAACATTTTGAATGCCATGGATCTCCACAATCTGTATCAATTTTACACGAGAATAATAAATTATCTGAAACAAAAAATTAAGATAAAAAAAAAATATCTTATAATTCTAGAGAAAAAAAAATTAATACTAACTCTTCACACATTGGAAACGGGACACAGCTGAGAAATTTTGTTGGCATTGACACTGATTGTCAATGCATACTGAAGAAGGTACCATACAATCATCATCATTCGAACATGATTCATTTATGGAAGGTCCGCATGAAACTTCATCCAAAGCATAATAATTATTACGACAAACACAAATATTATTTTCAGAGCATTTAGCATTTTTTATTATGTTGCAATCTCTATGATCTTTACAGGGTGCGCCCAATATGACTGTAAAAATATCAAAATGATAAATAATTAATTTTTTTTTGAAATATAATAAAAAATTACTACACTGAAAGAAAAAATTTATTTTGAAAAAATCAACAATGTTGTAATAAGAAATTAATTTGTTGGGAATTTTAAACACCTTTTTTTTAACTGAAGAAATAAAAAATTTTCTCACAGTAACTTTCTTGTTGAAAAAAAATTTTTCTAGATTTACAAAAAAATTTTGTAAGTAGTCAATCTAAAATTTTATTTTTCAAATCAAAAAAAATTTTTTTTAAACAAGAAAGTTACTATGAGAAATATGTTTATTTCTTCAGCTAAAAAATAAAATTGTTTAAAATTTTAAACAAATTAATTTCTTATTACAAGATTGCTAAATTTTTTCTTTCAGTTTATAATTAAAAAATTAATTACTTGGAATACAATTATCCTTAGACTGAAGTGAAATAAATTTATCAATGCATTGACATTTATTATTAATACAAACAGTAACTGGTTTAGAAACACAATTATCAGTGTTGAAACAAAATTCTCCAATGTGAGCTAAACATTGGTTCTCACCAAAAGCTGAGTGATTCGCTTGACAAACACATTTTTTATCCTTCGAACATGTTGAATTTTCTATTCGATCACAATCACTATCGTATTTACAAGCTTGATTCAAATATACTGCAAGTAAATCCTAATTAAAATCACATCACAGTATAATTACAATTTTTACTTTTTTTCAGATAATTTCAATCCACTTACATGCTAGGCATTGATCATTTAAAAGCGACTCGTAGTGAAGTCTGCATCGACATTCTCTATCACGACAATAAGAATTATCAACAAAATAACAGTCTTCATCATTGGAACAAAATCCACCAAGCAGCGGCAAGCAAAGTGTCTCATTAAATTCATGATAATTTTCTCCACAGACACAAATCTTATCTATTGAACATTCAGCATGCGAGTTATGCAAACATTCCTGATCAATTGTGCAATTTTGTCCCAAATTTTCTGAAATTTGCAGTTTTATAATAAAAATTAAAAATTTATTTTAAATATAAAAGATCATGAAGATAATTTGTTTAAATACGAACTTGCACGCTTATTATTCCATTGTCGTTCAGAAAAAAATTTGTATTGACAGAGATTATCAACGCAGACAGAATTATCCTCGCAGTGGATGTCAGTAATACAAAATTTATCTAATCGTAGTGTACATACAGTGTTATTGGGAAGTTTTGATACATCACCAGGTTTACATTGACAAACATTATCTTTGCAACGCGAATTAATAACAGTGCAATCTTCATTTTTTGAACAAGGCCCCCAAATGGGTATCCCACATGTTGTTTTATTAAATTGAACATAATTATTCTTACAAGAACATACGTTATTAATTGAACATTCTGAGTGTTTTATTTTCATGCAATCGTAATCATTATCGCACTTTCCATCTAGAAAAGCTGGAAATATAAAAATTTTTAATGAGTATCTAAATGATATTATTATTTAGTATCATTAAAAATTATTTACTTTCAACGCATTTGATATCAGAGACTGCACAGTAAAAAATTTTGCGTCAATGCGTCAAAAAATTTTGTGTTAAATATTTAACACTTTTTTGTTTTAATTTAACAGTTTTCTGTGTTAATTTAACACAATGACTGTTAAATTAAAACAAAAAAGTGTTAAATATTTAACACAAAATTTTTTGACGCATTGACGCAAAATTTTTTACTGTGCAGTCTCTGATATCAAATGCGTTGAAAGTAAATAATTTTTAATGATACTAAATAATAATATCATTTAGATACTCATTAAAAATTTTTATATTTCCAGCTTTTCTAGATGGAAAGTGCGATAATGATTACGATTGCATGAAAATAAAACACTCAGAATGTTCAATTAATAACGTATGTTCTTGTAAGAATAATTATGTTCAATTTAATAAAACAACATGTGGGATACCCATTTGGGGGCCTTGTTCAAAAAATGAAGATTGCACTGTTATTAATTCGCGTTGCAAAGATAATGTTTGTCAATGTAAACCTGGTGATGTATCAAAACTTCCCAATAACACTGTATGTACACTACGATTAGATAAATTTTGTATTACTGACATCCACTGCGAGGATAATTCTGTCTGCGTTGATAATCTCTGTCAATACAAATTTTTTTCTGAACGACAATGGAATAATAAGCGTGCAAGTTCGTATTTAAACAAATTATCTTCATGATCTTTTATATTTAAAATAAATTTTTAATTTTTATTATAAAACTGCAAATTTCAGAAAATTTGGGACAAAATTGCACAATTGATCAGGAATGTTTGCATAACTCGCATGCTGAATGTTCAATAGATAAGATTTGTGTCTGTGGAGAAAATTATCATGAATTTAATGAGACACTTTGCTTGCCGCTGCTTGGTGGATTTTGTTCCAATGATGAAGACTGTTATTTTGTTGATAATTCTTATTGTCGTGATAGAGAATGTCGATGCAGACTTCACTACGAGTCGCTTTTAAATGATCAATGCCTAGCATGTAAGTGGATTGAAATTATCTGAAAAAAAGTAAAAATTGTAATTATACTGTGATGTGATTTTAATTAGGATTTACTTGCAGTATATTTGAATCAAGCTTGTAAATACGATAGTGATTGTGATCGAATAGAAAATTCAACATGTTCGAAGGATAAAAAATGTGTTTGTCAAGCGAATCACTCAGCTTTTGGTGAGAACCAATGTTTAGCTCACATTGGAGAATTTTGTTTCAACACTGATAATTGTGTTTCTAAACCAGTTACTGTTTGTATTAATAATAAATGTCAATGCATTGATAAATTTATTTCACTTCAGTCTAAGGATAATTGTATTCCAAGTAATTAATTTTTTAATTATAAACTGAAAGAAAAAATTTAGCAATCTTGTAATAAGAAATTAATTTGTTTAAAATTTTAAACAATTTTATTTTTTAGCTGAAGAAATAAACATATTTCTCATAGTAACTTTCTTGTTTAAAAAAAATTTTTTTTGATTTGAAAAATAAAATTTTAGATTGACTACTTACAAAATTTTTTTGTAAATCTAGAAAAATTTTTTTTCAACAAGAAAGTTACTGTGAGAAAATTTTTTATTTCTTCAGTTAAAAAAAAGGTGTTTAAAATTCCCAACAAATTAATTTCTTATTACAACATTGTTGATTTTTTCAAAATAAATTTTTTCTTTCAGTGTAGTAATTTTTTATTATATTTCAAAAAAAAATTAATTATTTATCATTTTGATATTTTTACAGTCATATTGGGCGCACCCTGTAAAGATCATAGAGATTGCAACATAATAAAAAATGCTAAATGCTCTGAAAATAATATTTGTGTTTGTCGTAATAATTATTATGCTTTGGATGAAGTTTCATGCGGACCTTCCATAAATGAATCATGTTCGAATGATGATGATTGTATGGTACCTTCTTCAGTATGCATTGACAATCAGTGTCAATGCCAACAAAATTTCTCAGCTGTGTCCCGTTTCCAATGTGTGAAGAGTTAGTATTAATTTTTTTTTCTCTAGAATTATAAGATATTTTTTTTTTATCTTAATTTTTTGTTTCAGATAATTTATTATTCTCGTGTAAAATTGATACAGATTGTGGAGATCCATGGCATTCAAAATGTTTGGAAAATAAAAAATGTGGTTGTAATGCACAAAGTATACTTATTAATAAATCAACATGCTTACCACTTATCCGCGGACTGTGCTGGGCTGACACACAATGTATTACAATTAAAGATTCCTCTTGTGTTGATTTCTACTGTCAATGCAACTCAAATACTCGTTTTATCGCTGACAATATGTGTTCACAAATTTTCTTTTCTTAATCAACAAATCATCAGGATTTTACATTTTTTAGATAATAAATTTAAAAAACTAAAAAGTACACTTTAATGGGAAACAAAACTTAAAAGTAGAAAACGATTTTCAAATATTGGAATTATTTTATTAGAAGATATTTGTAAAATTTGAGTTATTAAAATAATTAAAAAAAAAAGACCTACATTTTTTATAATATAATGAATTTTTTTGTTGATCATTCTATCTTCATTTTAAATTTGTTGAAAATTATTTTTAAGTTTTATAAACTATTATTTCATTGAAAATTTTTAATTACAATTCAAAATTAAACCTGTTAAATTGTAATATTTGACTTATAATTAAAAGAAGAACAATATTTACTATCATTTTATGGATAGTATACGTTTAATCTGTAAAATGAATCATATTTTTATTCCTGAAGTCGATAAAAATTATGTTAAAAGATTCCGTTTATATTAATTTATTATGCTAATAAAAGCGTGTTAAGAAAAAATTGAAACATTAAATTTTAATCGAAACTGAGAATTAAAAATTGAAAGTTTTATTGAATCTAATATCCGAATGAGAAAAAAAAACATTTTTTTTTCTTCTAGTAGATAAAATCAAATTAAAAAATAAGGAAAAAAATTCTTTAAAGCAATTACTGAAATAAAACATTTTGTGATCATATAAAAAAAAAAATAAAATAACTGCTATAAAATGATTTTGTAATTATAAAAAAATAAATAACTTTATTACACAGTGTATGTTGCATCGATTCTATCGATTTTTTATCAGACTTGTTTCTCAATACTGTAATTATTATTGGACAATTATATTTGCTATTTTTACTTATAGTATTTTAAGATTATTTTATTACTTATAATTGATTCTCGCGGACGAGTTTTTCATTACAAAAGAGTATTATAGTTTTTATCTTCATTAAATAAACCTATCGTCTTCATTAATCCATCATTATTATTCCAACTATGTCAATTAGACTTAATATTCTACTTTCCATTGTTTTGGGTTTGATGTTAAATCAATTGGCTGATTCCGACGGAAATTATAATAATAATTGTTCTCATTTGAATTCCCAAGTAAAGATTATTTAAATATACTTCATTTATAAATATTTTAATCAATTTTAAATATTTAAAAATGAAATCAATAATGTATACAACATATTATGTAAAAAGATAGTAATAAACATAATTAATAATTGAATATAAATCACTGACTAAAAATAAATGTTAATAAATTGGAATTGTTTATTATAGTGTGACCCAACTGACCCTCAATCTTGTTGCGATGAAATTAACATATGCCGAGATATTTCAAAAAATGTTTTTCGATGTATATTCAACAAAAAAGGTATCAATTTTATTATTCCACTTTTTAAAAATTTATCAAAATCTTTGATTTAAAATTTTACAAAAATTCAATTATTTTATAACACTTAGAACTGGGAAAAGTTTGCAAAACTAATGAGCAGTGTGATCATCAATAATTGCATGCGAAATGTTCAAGCGACAACAAAAGATGCGTTTGCAGAGCAAATAACATCCAAGTAAAGAAGAAATGTGAACCTTTATTGGGCAGTTTTTGTTGGAAGAACGAAAAGTGTGCTGCTGATAATTCTGCCTGCATTGACAATAAGTGTACATGCAATGCTAGTTATCTAAAGAACTCTCGCGGAGAATGCGTCCTAAGTAAGTAAATAATATAGAATGAAAAAATTGGTATGATTTTAGTTGATAAGTTTAATTTTTTCAGATGTACTAGGTCAGAGTTGCTCAAACGATACGTGGTGTTCACAAACTAAATTTGCAACATGTTCGAAAAATAAAATATGTAGTTGTTCACCGAACACTATTAAAATTAACGGAATTTAATGTTCTCCGGTTCTGAATGGATTCTGTTGGCAGGATGATGATTGCTTCCCAAGTTTTTTGGAATGTATTAATAACAAGTGTCAATGCAAATCTGGTTTTGCTCCTGAATCTGATACAGAATGCGTACCAGGTAAGTAACTTGACATAAGCTAATTGTGTCTAGGATAATTCAATATTGAATTCAAACTGAACACTGTAATAAAAAATTTGCGGAATTAATGTTGAGCGGATGATTTTCAATTGATTTACTCCCTCCGGAAGTTAAATTCACTTTGAAATGAGTTTAATTAATGTTATTAGGAAAATTCACTCAGGAAAAAAATTCTTCATTATTTTTATTGTCTAAAAATAAAAAAATAGTTATTACTCGATTAAAAATTATAAAATTTGTAGTTAGAGATTTTTAAAATTAAAATTAATACAATTTTTTTGAATTTCTGTCAAAATTAATAATTTTTTTTTTCAATTCAAAATTTAATAATTTCAATTTTTTTTATATTGGTTAAAATTTGAATTTTTTCAAAATTTGAATTTTCTTCAAAAGTCAACTTTTTTTTATTTTCAAATTTACAAAAAAATTATTTTAAAAAATTTCAATTTTTTTTTAAATTTCGGTTTCCGTCAAAATTTTATTTTTTTTTTTTTTTTTTTTCAAAATTTGAGTTTTTCTCAAAATTCGATTTTTTTTTCTCAATTTTTGTATACCGACAAAAAATTTTTGGCAATTATTTACAATTGGGGTCAACCCGATTTTGCGCCGTAACTAGATGAAAAATTAAAATTTTTTAATTTATTTTTTTTATTCTGCTTGTTTTTACGGCGCATTTATGATAAAAAATGTCCTGAAAGGAAAAAATGAAGATTTTTATAGCTTTTTTGCCTTGGAAAAAATTTTGGCTCTCATGTTTTTGGATAAAATTTCTATTCTATATATCTTTATTTGATGTTTTTGATATATTTTTTTTTTTTAAAGTACATAAAAGAACGAACTATTTAAAAAAAAAATTTATCAAAAATAAAAAATTTTAAATGAGTTGACGACCCCACTTGTAAATAATTACCAAATTTTTTTCTTTCAATTAAAATTTTTTTATACCCGCGAAAAAAAAATTAGGCCCATGAAACTTCAAGTTTCAAGTAAATAAAAATTGAATGTATTCCCAGAATTCCGTACTTCCGATATTTTCTAGATTAAAATCCAGATTCACTCCAGAATTTAGATTCACTTCGTACGCATTCTTTTCCAAATTTTTACAGTGAATTAAATTTCATTATTTTATCTTAATTTGTACAGAATTCAGCATTGTATCTCACTTTTTTCACTTTTAAGATAATACTAAATGTTACAGGTCACTTGGGAGCGGATTGCCAAAAAAACTACCAATGTAGCGGTGGTGTAAATCATTCATATTGTAGCCTGCTAGAGAAGAAATGTGTTTGTAAGAAAGGCTATTTTCAGAGTAAAGGAATATGTAACCCAAATGTGAACGTTTCTTGCTCTGACACTGACATATGTTCAGTTAAAGGATCTGTTTGCATTAATAATGTGTGTCAATGCAAGTCTGAATACCAGTATGAGAATTTTCAATGCTTCTCAAGTAAGAAATCAATTTTTACTTCCAATGCTATTACAATTATTGTATAATTTATTACTTTTTACAGATCGGTTAGAAACACCGTGTGACAATAATAATGATTGTATCAAAATAAAGAACTCTGTTTGTTCGATTTACAAATTATGTGTTTGCGAAGATAATTATGGGAGCGTCAATGAAACAACATGCAAGCCACTAATTTCAGAATTTTTTTCAACAAATAAATCATGTATTAATCCTAATTCGATTTACATTGATAACGAGTGTCAATGCGCACCTGGTTACTTTCCTAAAATGAATAATACAGTGTGCGTGCTATTATTAGGTAGCAACTGTTTGACTAATGAACAATGTTGGCCAAACTATTCTGTATGCACTAATAACATATGTGAATGCGATTGCTCAACTATTGAAATATCAAATGACAAATGTGCAGGTTTGTTTTTAAAAAAATTCAATAATTTCTCCAGGATTAATTTTAAGAATTAAAAAAAATCTTTTATTTTAGTACCTTTAGGATCTGAGTGTTTGATGGATGAAGATTGTCAAGAAATTGTACACGGACAATGTTCAGATGATTATATATGTGATTGTGAAGAAAATTATAGTCAATTGAACGAAATAGCTTGTAAGCCATTTCTTTTGGTGGACGCTGTTTAATTGATGTGGATTTTGCCTCAAAAATTTTTGTATTAAATTTTGTATTTGATATTTTTGTGTGAATTTAATTGAATTTTCTTAAATCAACACAAAAAGGTCTTAAATTTGTTGCTTTTTTGTTGCTAATTAGTTTCTTTATTTAAAATTTTGTTACTCGTTTAGATTCCGAGAAATGATTAATAATATCCGTCCAAAATGACGACCCTATCATTTTGAATCGTTTCAAATTATTTTTAATAATTTCAAATTAGATTTCTCAACCATCAGGGAAACAAGCTTATATATGAGGCGTGTACTTTTAAACTTTCCATTTTTTTTACAGCATATTTTGCTACATTACCGTGCCAAAACGATGAAAATTGCTCTGAACTTGTAGAATATACTGCATGTAGTACGGAAAACAAATGTGAATGTAAAAATAATTACATTCCACTACATGATTCAAAATGCGCAGCTATCAAGTTGTACGAACATTGTCACGAAGACAGTGATTGCGCGGTTGAAAATTCTTGGTGTATTGATAACAAATGTCAATGCATTAATGGTCTTGATAAGTTCAACATTAGCTGTAAAGGTGAATAATTTTTTTTTTTACTTTATTAATTTCTAATAATGATAATTTTTTTAATTTTTTCAAAAGTTCCATTGGGTAAACACTGTCAAAGTAACTACGATTGTAAAACTATAAAAAACTCGGTTTGTTCTTCTAAACATAATATATGTGTTTGTGACGAAAAAAATGTTGCATTGAATTTATTCGAATGTGCGCCAATTATCGGTGGATTTTGTACCAGTGATAAGGATTACCGATTTAGTTCGTCTTACTGTTTTGAAAACAAATGCAAATGCTCACCTGGTTTTGCAGCTGTTTCTATTACTGAGTGTACAAGAGGTCAAAACAACTTAATTAAATATATTTCTTGAGTTTTATCGTTTTGAAATAGAAAAATAATATAATTATTTTTGTTTTCAGAACAATCCTTGTATTCTTGCAATGAAAATTCAGATTGCAGTGATGCATGGCAAACCAAATGTTCAAAAGACAAATTATGTATTTGTAATTTAAATAATACTGTAGAAAATTATCCGTCATGTTTAACTCACTTGGATGGTTATTGCTGGAAAGATGATCAATGCGTAGCGCCAAATTCGAGGTATTTTGATTACAATTGTAAATGCCAACTTAATTATCTGGTTGTTGCGAAAAATCTTTGTGTACCAATTCGAAGTTGAAATTCATTCTCTTATACTTAATATAAAAAATAGCTCGTCGTAATAATCTATTTTTAAAGATTAAAGTAGTTGTCGTGGTTTAAGCATACCGTCAGAAAATTATAAATTTTTTTGATGATACAATTACCCTTAAAATTTAAAGTCGATTGACCGCTCATAACTCAAGATGAATTCAATTAAAAATTGAATATTTGAAATTGATTGCATTACACTCTTTGCAGCTCTATACCACACTGATAGAAGGATTTATTAACTATTAATAATTTAATCTATTTGAAGACAATCATTTAATTTATTAAATTTTAATAAATATTTTTTAACATTCAATAAATATTTATTTGGGAGGAAAGTACATTTCTTAATAGTTAATAAATATTTTGTTGAGTGAATTTGTTTCGCTTACAATGTCATATGATATGAAAATTGCTTGTAAACAAAAATCATCTTTATAAATTATTTGCATATCACAGCTCATAATTATCGTTTATATTTTTAAATATTAAAAACGTTAATTTATTTAGTGAATTGAATTATTATCATGTATTTCAGCTGTAGCGTTATAAAAAGTGTCAAAAGAAAATTGCTACTTTTGCTTTTTATTTTAGATAAATATTTGTTAACAGTTGACAAATATTCATTAACTAATAAATATTTATTAACAGTTAATAAATTGTACTTAACAAATTACTCATTAACTATTAATAAATATTTGTTAACTGTTAACAAGTATTTATCAACATTTAATAAATAATTTATTAACTGTTAATAAATATTTATTAAATTCTATGATGTTAAAAAATCATTTATTAACAGTTAATAACACTTATTAAATATAAAAAAATCCTTCTATCAGTGCAGTTCCTTATTAATGTTTCTTTTTTTATTGTATTTAATGCTTTTTTTTTCTTATAATGAGTTATAAAAAAAAAACTAACCATCACACCATCAGAAACTTTAAAAAAACTGACAGTCTTTTAATGTATTTGTTTTGAGTTTAAAAAAAATATTTTTGAGCGTCTAATTATTTATAAATAACAGATTAGAGTTTAACAATTTATGAAAAAGTATATATCTACGAAGTAGATACAATTAGTAGCTACATATACTTTTGCGGCGCGTATAATCTCTAATTTTTTGACAACACTGTACTATGACAACTACCTTAAACAAAAGTAAAAATAAATCAACAATGAGGATTAGAATTTTTACACTTGAAATTTTTGGCTGAAATTAATAAAAATAAATACTTGAAATTATTTGTTGAATTAGTCAAGTATATCTGAAATATGTAAGTTGTAGAGAAAAAAAACTGTTTTCGCCCGGGTTCGAACCGGGGACCTTCTGCGTGTTAGGCAGATGTGATAACCGACTACACCACGAAAACACAGTTGTGATGATAACTCAAATGATAGTTGATAATATTCATGTACACTTTTTTGTATTTTTAGTGTTTGTTTATGCTCATTTACAGTCAATTAGATATAGTTTTATTTTATTATGCTTTTTTTTCAATAATTCTAATCTCAATTTTTAAAATTTCATTCTGAATTTTAATATTTTAATTTATGTTAATATTTTATAAAACTGTGCAATTTAAAAACAAACGAATTTCTAGACATAAAATTATAAATTTTCCGCTTTTTTTTTCTTATAATAAATGAATAGATTTTAGAAAAAATCTATTAATTTTTACAGTTTGTGTTCAAATTTTTTTTTTTTTTGCTCCACCAATTTTATTTATAAACTAAAAAATCACTTAAATTTTCAATTTTCAACATTACATTATAAAACTAAAAAAAATGATTTAAAGGGTGTAATCCAAACTTATAAAGCTCTTAAAACTCTCGTCTAATATGTTGGTTTCTGTGGTGTAGTTGGTTATCACATCTGCCTAACACGCAGAAGGTCCTCAGTTCGAACCTGAGCAGAAACAACCTTTTGTTTTGTCAATTAATTTTTGAAATTTCTCCATTTATCTATAGCACTTTTTTTCTTACTGAATTTTAAAAATTAAAAAATTATGTAACAAAAACCAAAAAATTTTTAATAACAAAAAAAAAATAAAATCAACAGAAATCTTACAATTTTTTAGATTTTTATAACAATTAAAATACTAATAAAAAATTTAGTAAAAGAATTCCACATGTAGAAATTAAACTAAATTATGTGCAAATTTTGAAATGTATTTTCTTATAATACTGAAGTTAGCTGACAACTGTCAATTTTTTTAATTTTTATAACAAATTAATTTTAATAAAAAAAAAATATTTCCAAAAATTTTTACTAATAACTTTTTTTAATTTTTACGATTTAAACTTTTTAATTAATTTTTTTTTTATAATAATTTCATTGCTAAAAAATTATAGAAAAATTAATTTAGCATATATTTAATAATTTAAAAAATCTTAAAGCAAGAAAATTACCAAAAAAAAAATTAGAAAAAAAATTGACATGTAGAAATTTAAAAAAATTGAAAATGTAATTTCTTTTCAATTATTTTTTGGAATACATTTTTTTGTTAGATAAAATAAAAAAAATTGTAGAGTGACTGCTAACTTTAGTGTCATAAAAATTTTTAATATCTGTCATATTTTTTTTTATCATAATTGCTATAAAAATTTAAGATATTAAAGTCATGATATTAAAGTTAGCTGTCAGTTAAAAATTTTTTAATTTTAATTAACAAAAAAATTTATTTTTAAAAAATTTCATTTTTAATTTTTTTAAATTTCTGCATGTCAATTTTTTTTTCTAATTTTTTTTTGCTATAATTTATTTGTTATAAAATTCTTAAAATTATTAAATATATGTTAGATTAATTTTCATGAAATTGTCATGTCAGCTGATTTTAGTGTAATACAAACAAAAAAAGCAATTCTACCAACTCAATCAATTATAAATTGAAATATTGAAACCAACCATTATGTTAAGTACGATTGTTATGATAATAAAACGTTAACGCACAATAATGGCGGCGGTTGATGACGAGTATTTACATCACGTATCGTCAAATATAGTAAATAACAATTACCAACAAAATATTAAATGGATTCCATTGTCAGTATCACTTGTCGAGTATCCTCAAGGTCAGTATTATTTATTTATTGCTTGTTTCCATAAATTAATATCATAATAACAAACTAAAACTTACGGTCAATTATTGAGGTTATGGTACTGTCGACGTAGCGATAAATATTTTTATTTTCGATTTATCATCCCGCAAATATTTATCAATTAATTTATTTTAATTTTTATTTCCAGGAGATTCTTTAGGACTTGGGTTAGCCCTGATAAGTTTGATGCCATTAGCGTTAATAGTAGGATTTATCACTCTCATTGCTTTCCGACGTGATTTACATACGGTAGGTGAATGAACGCTTGTTTTTTGTTTAGTTTATGGTAAATATTAATTGTTAATTTAAAAAAATTTTTTTTTTTATAGATATGCTTTTTTATCGGAGTAATTGTCACGGATATTGTTGGTTTGTTTTTGAAATATACTATCAAAGAAGCAAGACCTATGAAACGTGATGTTGTTTATGTTGAATATGGAATGCCGTCGACACATTCGTTGTTGATGTGGTTTTTTGCAACTTATACTGCGTTATTTGTATGCTTGAGGTAATTATTTTTTATAATTTTCTGGATATTTTTTGAATAATTTAATTTTTAATTGAAGATTTGTTCTGAGTTAACAGAACAATCACTTAGCGAATGAATATGTGATCGAGATTTAATTAAATATATTGGAAAAATATAAAAAAAAATTTTTACTGGTAAATGATACCAAAGTTATTAAAAATTGATAGTTTTTTTTTTTTTTTAAATGAACCATAAAATTTTTTTTTTCCTTCTTTTTTTTATAATAGAAAAATTTTCATAAATTAACACCTAAATAATCATCTAATATTTTTTAAATATTTTATTTTATTTTATATTATTATAAAAGCAGTTTATTATCTAAAAAATAAAATGATAAACTGATTATAAATTTATCAGACTTGAATAATTTTGTATAAATAAATTATTAATTTCAATTTAATTAAAAAATAAAAATTTAATTAAGAATTTTAATTTAAATATAAAATTTTTAATTTTACGATAATATATTGATATTATACTTGCGATATTTTATATAAAAACAAATAATGGAATGTTAAAAATCTTAATAATAAAATTCTCTCAAAACACCTGTTCAAACAATACCTTTAATTGAAGATGTTTGGTATTAAAAGCAGAAATAATTCAATGATACTGAATTTAACGGTCATCTAATAATTTTTTAGATTTTTATAACAATTAGATTAAAATTAAAAAATTTCCACATGCAGAAATTTAAAAATAATTATTTGCGAATTAACAAAAAAATTTTTCTTTTAAAAGTTTCAAGAATCATAATAATTTATCATACATTATAGTTTTAAAAATTAGTTTATATTTTACTACCACTGTGTAATTAAAGCTAAAATTAATTAAATTAATTGATAATGGTAACACTATTATAACAATTTAATGAAACTAGCAACCTTGCAGTCACTATGTGATTGCCGTGACTTGTGAAATATAAATAATTAAAATTTTGCTTTGTTAAATAATGACTTTGGTTAAATTGCACTGTACTTTTTTAACTATTGACGTTTTTAAAGATATAAGCTCATCCTGATGTTACACTCATCAAGAGCTTTCATTTGAGTACCCACATGCATTTTTATATATTTTTCATATATTCATATATGTAAATATATAAATATATGAAAAATTGATGTGGGTACTCAAATGAAAGGTCTTGATGAGTGTAACATCGGGATGAGCTTATATCTTTAAAACTGTCAATGGTTCACAAGATATTCGTTAAAATGCCCTGTACTTTCTTAAATATTGACGTTTTTAAAGATATAAGTTCATCCCGGTGTTACACTCATCAAGAGCTTTCATTTAAGTACCCACATGCATTTTGATATATTTTTCATATATTCATATATATAAATATATAAATATATGAAAAATTTATGTGGGTACTCAAATGAAAGGTCTTGATGAGCGTAACATCGGGATGAGCTTATATCTTTAAAAATGTCAATAGTTCACAAGATACATAGTCATTTCTTAATTATATATCTAGAGATAGAGCATTTTCGAATGAAGCCTAAATACTTATCATCATAAATTGACTATTGGTGAGAATGATATAAAACCATGAAAAGGCACAGCTCCAGGTCAAAACTTTTCCAACGATGCCATATTTAACCATAAAAACCCATTTTATCATATAAATACACTTGCCACAAAATTTTGCTTATTCTCTTAATAATATAGATTATCAATATTTATTTACATTTTTATTTACAGAATGCATCAAAACAATAACAGTACAGTTGTAGAAAAATTTTGGAGATGGACAATCATCGGTGGCTGTGCAACAGTTGCCGTTCTAGTCTCATATAGTCGTATTTATTTGCAATACCATACAATATCACAAGTACTATGTGGTTTTGTTGTAGGAATTATAATGGGTGTTACATGGTTTTTTATAACTCATCTAGTCCTAGCGCCATTTTTTCCAATTATTGTGTCGTGGTAAGTCTCTCTAACATTAAAATATCATTAATTTCTATAATTATTTAAGATCGTTAATAATTTATAAAATTATTTTAAGGCGATTGTCTGAATTTTTATTGATACGTGATTCAACCCTGATACCAAATGTATTGTGGTTCGAGTATACGAACATAAGAACAGAGGCTAGAGCACGCTCAAGAAAACTAGTCTCTATGAAATCACAATGACGTCTGATGGTTGCCCAGTGGGCCGACAATAAATAAAGACACTTTTATTTATTTTAAAAAATTAGAGTTTTAATTTTTTCTTAATAATTGCAATTATTTGAGATTTTTTAAAAGTCTAAGTTAGAAGTTTTTTAAATCTATTGAAAATAGATTGAAATATTGTAAAGTTAAATATCTAATTTGTCATTTTTATAAGATTTTTGTTGACTATTAATGTTAAAATAATTTACTTAGGGAATTAAGTAATTGAAAATTATTTTTTTTGAGTTTTACTTTTTTAAGAAATTGCTTCCTAATTCAATTTAACTTTTAATCTTTTCATAGAAAAAATCATTGATAAAAAAATTAACTTAATTTCAGAGAAAAATTCTTGAATCAAGAATTTAATGTTAAAGAGTTTGATCGACTTAAATCAAATAAAAAAATAATTGAACTTGATTCAAGTATATTTTAATTGATTTAAGGATTTTTTAACTAGATTCAAGAGGATCAAACTCTTCAAAATAATATTTTTGGTTTAAGAATTTTTCTCTTAAATTAAATCAAATAAATTTTTTTTATCAGTCTATTGATTGTTTAATTGTTTAATTAATATTCTAGTTGTGATTTATTAAATTTGAACTATTAGAAAAAATAAAATATTTAATTTTAATTAAGAATTTATACATTCAATTAAAAAATAAAAAAAGTAAAACTCGAAATAATTATTTTTAAAATTTCCTAACATAAATTAAATGAAGCAATAATTACTTAATTATTTATAAAAAATATTTACGTGAATTAATTTAATTAAATAATGACTATTTATTGTTTAATAACGTGAATGAATTTTTTATATAATATTTTTTATTTTTTTAATCTACGATTTAATACATAATAATTATTGCTGATAATAATCGTAATAATAATAATAATAACAATAATACCTAGGATGTTCACATTAAATGTGAGTTAAAAGTATCAATAAATCAATAAAATACTAAGTATGTGTATGACTTTTCAATAAAGACAATCAATTAAATAAAGCTATATACTTTTTAAATGCTAATCAGTCAACAAAATTTTGAATTCAACTTTAATAAAATCAAAAATATCATCGGCAAGCAATCGTCCGCAGTCGATGAAAAATTTCGAGCTTCTTTTGTCTTTTATAAGGTAAACTTGCTCATATTTTTTAGTATTATCTGTTCTTATTGTCACGTGGACGTTGAATTGTTTCAAAGTTTCTTTCACTGAATCTGATACGTCTGTTAGAAAAATAAGTTTTTTTAGGGACGTACTTAGCACGCCTCCTTGGTATGTTACTCTTAAGTAAAACAATTGGTGATAGCATTCCAAAAATTTGTGCTCAATGTCTGATTTAAATGACATTTTCTTCCAAAAATCATTTATTACTATCGTTAAACCATAGCCGTTGGTTGGTGCAATGAGATGCTGCTCTTTTAAGTGCGACAACAATTCGGTAGCTATTCCATTCCATTTACATGATTTATGACCAATCGGACATTCCAAGTCGTTGTACCGGCAAGCTGACTCGTGATTTCTGCGGTTGTTGCTTTTTATAAGTTTATTACACCCATTGCTGTAATAAAAATATTTTATTTTTTTACGATATGGTTTTAACTAAATTGTTGCATTATAATCTTAAAAATACAATAAATGTTTAATGTATAACAATAGGTATTACAATTTATTTAACTGTGGGCGATTTTAATTTTTTTTTTTTAATTACTTACATCTGTAAAGTGTAAATAATTTTAATATTAGCTAAGTATAATTTTTAATTTTAATCATTGACATTAAAATAAAAATTGATTTAAAATTATAAAATAATATTTTGTAATTTTAAATTATAAAAATTTTTATGAAATGATAAAAGTTTTAAAATTTACTATAGTTAATATAATTATAATATTCAGAATTTTACTAATTAAGAATTATAAAATCTTAAAAATATTATTTGTGTACGGTTTGTCGGCTAATTTCGGCTGTATTCGTTTTTTCTGTTGCTAGGCAGATTTAATGACCCGAAAAAAAAAAAAAAAAAAAAAAAAAAAAAAAAAAAAAAAAACTAAAAATAATAATATCCAGTTTGAATTTTATATAACTTTGAGAGAAATAAATCATGGATGATAATCGTAGTCATAATTTGAGAGAAATATTTTTTTATAAAAAAAAGTAAAGTAAAATTTAATCAATTCAAAATATTAAGTAAAGTTTAATTTAATAAAAATTTATTTCAAATTTACAAATAAAGAATTTAATGAAAATTTAATTTTATATACAATTATAAAAGTTCAAATTTATACATTGATAGAAAAATTAACTTGATTCAAGAGAAAAAATCTGAAATTAAAGAAAAAATTTTTAATAATTTTATTGTTTTGAATCATGAAAAAATTTTTGAAACAAGTAAACTTTTTGCATGCTTCATAAACAATAAAATTCTTAAAAATAATTTTCTTGGATAAAAATTTTTTCTCTAATTAAATTAATTTTTTTATCAAAGTAAAAATTAAATTTTATATTGTAGAAAACTTGAAGAACTAGGTATAAGTGCAATTTTGAAAAAATATTTTTTAGTTCTAATTTAATAAATTAAAAAAAAATCAAAAAGTCAAAACCGATTTTTGTTCAAACTATAATTATCAACAACCTCAAAAAAATTTTTTTATCGAAACAACATATTTTTATAAATAATTTATAAAATTTTAAACAAACCTAAAATTCTTGCATGGCAACGCCAAAGAATTAACAAACTGTTCAAGATTTCTTTCGCGTTTTGAAATAGTTGGATTGCGACAATACGGACAATGTCGCAATTTACTAAAACAATCAGCGCACACTATTTTATTGCAGGTAATACAAGAAAATATTCTCCGCATCTGCAGAGACTCTAAACAAATTTTGCACAGACCGTCGGTTATTATTTTCTGACGCAGCCTATTGCCCACGACATTTTCTTCGTCGCTTATCGCTTCATCGTAGCCGTCACTTGTACCTGCAGAGAGCCAAAATTTAACTATGAGAATATAAAAGAACCAGACGCTTACTTAGTGACAATAAATTACTTACCCGTACAACTTATGGGTACAAAGGTATAAAAATTACAATGCTTTTTTCCGTACTCCTTTAAATTTGGGACCGATTGCAATTTCTTCAGCTCACATTTTTCATCCGGCGTTAATTGTGCCAGTGAATTATTTTTTTTAATCCCAGATTTTTTGAAAAACTAAAACACAATTAAAAACATTAAAATACAAATTAAAAAGTTTTATTTTTATTTTATTTATTCTTCTCATTACCGATATTAATTTTTCAAACATTTTTCGTTGAACAATTAAATTTTTATTAAAAAAAACTAAAGCGCACAGAGATGTTGACCCACCAGAGGACCTTTAAAAACTGACCAGTTTCATCTTGATCTTGCATGTTCCCGAAAATCCATAAGTTTAAAAAAATAAAAGGATCTTATTCTCTCCAAGGATTCATGTGTCAACGTCAGGTTAAAAACTTTCTCTAAAAATATTTCATGCCTTAGAAAAACTTAGTCTTCTTTCCAGGAAAACCATCATGACATTGAGGTATTTCGAAGGTCTTACCGTTTTAAAGGTCCGTGACTCATTCGATTTAAAACCTTTAAAAAAATACTACCAGAATCCTTTTATCTTTTTTCAATCCAAATTTTTCTCACTTATTCTCAATAAACTTCTTTTTTATATTAATCACTCACTAATTACCGTAAATAAATAAATAAAGGCTATTTAACCGTTAATAGAAATTTTTCCCGCTTTTTTTTTTGCGCACGCGTATTTGCATAATTCTAACATAGAAAACAATTAATTGTTTATTAAATTCTTGAATAATTATTTAAAAAATTTTTACTGAATTTTTTTTATTTCTTCTTTATTTTGGCATTTTTTTATAATTATGAAAATTAGCGAGAAAATTTTAAATTATGTTTTTTTCAAAGAAGAAATATTAATTTTTTTTCTGTATAAAATAGAAAATTATCTTTAAAATTGTTTGCTACAACGTAAAAATCATTTTTTGGGCTTAGTCATAACTTTAAACGCGGTTATCTCAAAAATGTTCTTGTATCGGCATTCTGCATTGACCGTACCATCGCCCTAGGGTGCTATTCATTCATTTCAAGCTTGCATTTACTTTTAATCAACAATAAGTTATTTAGTTATTCATAAAACTGGTGGGAGAAATGGGAATAAAGTCATTCATATTTGTGCTTGGTTTATTTAATGATAAACTGTTAATTTTTTAGATAATTTATCAGTCAAGTCAGTGGAAATTAGTCATTAAAATATGTGACGAATTAGATAAACAAGATCATACATTTTTTTAAATTATCGATATCGAAGCATCTCTACTTTTGTGTCAAGATAAATTTTTTTGAGAAAAAAAATTTTTTTTTCTTAATTAAGTTTAAATGTTCCCTTAAAATTTATTAGAATGTATATTTTGGTAAAAATTTTTCCTGAGTTTTCATGAAAAATTTTGATAATTTTTCAAATAAATTCATCAATTTAAAAAAAAATTATTTCTTCTCAATTTTTAATAATTACTAAGTTTTATAACGAAAAATAAAAAATTTAGAAGTTCTTATAAAATTTAATAAAATATTTATTAGTTTAATTTGATTTAAAAAAAATTTTTTTGTTAAGGAAGAGTATTAATATTAATTATAATAAACTTGCCATTGATTCTTCTGATCTTTTTTTTTTATAATCCTGTAAAATAAAACAAATATATCGCATTCTGACTTGAAAACTCTTCATGTTTGTGTTAAAGATTATGATATATTGCATTTAAATAAAATAAATAAATATACTCTAAATGAAAAGGTAATAAAATAATAAAACGATGAAAAATACTGGAGATTACTGGGGTCAATATTTTGATAATTTAATTCCATTGTACTTTTCATGAAAATTAATTTAATTTCTGCATCAAATTTCTATAAAATCCTAAATAAGTTTGACTTAACAAAAAAAAAGTTTTTTATAAGTTTTATAAATTTTGTCCAAGAATTTTTTACACTGCTTCTATAAAAATCTTAGAATTCAATTTTTTTATGAAAACTTTCATTAAATTTTTTTTTCTTAAACGATTTAATGAAAATCAATTGTTTTTGGATTTAAGGCTTTTTTTTTTTTTAATCAATGTTATTACTTATCACAGTGAAAAAAAGAATTTATAAATATTTGAGGTCATAAATTTCATTATGATGTAAATGACATTATTAATATTTTATATTTTCTAATGACACTGAAGTTGACAGACATAAGAAAATTTTTTTTTTACAATTTTACAGCAATGAAATCATTATAAAAAAAATTTAATAAAAAATTCTACATGTGAAAATAAAAAAAAAATATTAGGATAAATTTTTAAAAGTATTTTTATTAATGAAAATAAAGTTTGCCGACATTTAAAAATTTTTAGAAATTTTTTGTTGAAAAAATTTCAATTAAACAATTAAAAAAAAAAATTGTCATATGTAAAAAACTTGAAAAACTATAAGTGCAATTTTTTATAAAAATTTTTTTAGCTGTAATTCAATTAATAAAAAAAAATCAAAAATTTTTAGACGTCTCTGCTAACTTCAGTGTCATTTTTATTATTGTAATTGAGTTGTTATAAAAATTAAAAAAATTTACAGATTTCAGCTAACTTAATGACATTAAAGTTAGCAGTTACTTGACTATTTTTTAATTTTATTTAACAAACGAATTGATTTCATGAAATTATTTAAAAAAAAAATTGCATTTTTAATTTTTTAAAATTTCTACATGTCACCTTTTTCTTCTAATTTCTCTTTGCACTAATTTATTTCTTAAAAAAAATTCTATGCCAACTTAAGTATCACCATTTTATAAATAAAATAATAAAACAAATTTCTTATTATTTCTTCTTAAAAATTTATTATCATAAACTTCAATAATTAAAAATAAATAAATTTATAAACTTTTAAAAATTTGCATATTTATAAGTAAAGGTTGGCCACATTTACCTCAGATCTAATTCAACCACCAGCGCTGACGGTCACCTTTTAAAATAATAGTAATCGATATTGATAAGTTATTATGTGTAAAACTCGAGTGCTTGGCGAATAAATGAATTTGTTAATAAATAATTAGTCTATATTTAAAATAAACATCTTCTTGATCAAAACAATTAGTGAATTAAACATAAAATGGATTTCAATGTGAAGAAACTGATGAAAGAAGGAGTGAGAACTGCATTCAATCGCGTTGTCCAGGTAATAATTGTGTCAATCATCTTTATCTTAGCAATTGTTTAAAAAATTAATTTTTCTTACTACTTCTCATTATAATTAAAACTAATAAAAATTTTTTTGATAGTTTATTAATTATTGTGAAAGAAGAAAAAAATAAAATATCGATTATCATTAAAATTAATTCACAAATTTTTAAATATTTTCAAAGATGGCAGCACTGTGATCTTGAATCTTGAAATAATATTTTTTTTTTTTTATTATAATTTCCATAATTATTAATCAACACTAGCGCCACTGTTGACGGACGGTATTGAAAATCTATCATTATATTTTACTGTTATTGTTATTCGGTGTGTTTCATAGCTTAGAGATTAGTCAGCCTCAGCCAATGAGTTTGAATAAATAAACATTAAATTGTTAGTAATTAAATTTATACTGTCAAAATGGATTTTAATGTTAAAAAATTAGTTAAAGATGCTGGTGCTGCGCTAAGTCGTGTTGTCCAGGTATTTTATTATTATTTACATTTTTTTATGATGAAATTATTATTTTTATGACTTATTAACGTATCATTTATGTTTCTAGGGCTTCGTGTTATTTCATTTTTTTTTCATTATTATTATTATTATTATTATTATTATTGTTAATATTAATATCAATATTAATATTCTTATTATTATTTCACTGTGATTAATATTATTTATATAATTTATTTTTCTTAAGGTTAACTATAATTATAAGATAACTTATTTTTTGTAATAAGGTTAAGATAAATTGACCCCATACTATGATAATCATCATAATGAAATTTAATTGCTGTCACTATTGTTAGCTTTTTTTATAAAATCTTTAGAAATGTTTGAATAAATTTGTGATAAGCAATTTGACAGCTTAATAATTACTAGAAAAATTTTTTTAAATTTTGTATGATCAATTAAAAGATTAAAAGACATTTTTATTATTTAATGTCTTCTCTGTAATTTTTTTTATAATTGGAATTAACATATCAAAAATTTGTATTGTCATTTATGTCATATCGTAAAATAGTAGAATAAGAATAGAATTTAATAATTTAAACAAAATGCTCTAAATTTCCTCATTAAAATTAATTATTTAAAATTAAGGTTTACTCTAAAAAAAAAATACTAGAATAGTATTTTTTAAAGTAAAATTAGTATTACTATAAAAAGATATATAGATAGCCGTCAAAAAATTTATTTAATAAAAATATTTATTTCAATTTTGTCATTAACTAAAAAAAAAATCTAATATTGAAGATTATAAACACCCGGCAATTTTTTAACTTTTTAAAAATTTATTAAAGTATTTAAAAAATCAAAAATTTTGTCTTCTATTAAAGTTTTAAAACTTACAAAAATATTTTTAGTACCTTAAATTTTCACATCTAATGTTTTAAATTTAGCTGTGAGTAAAACGTAATTCAAATAATTACTCTTGCTAATTAGATCAATTAAGAGTACAGTAATATTCAAGTTAAAACATGAATATTCTATTTTAATTACTGAAGATATTTTAACATCTATGACACATTATTTCATGCAATTATCTTGCAAAATTTCATTATCTCTAAGAAAGTTTTGCTTTTTTATCAACATTAACATTATGACTCCAGTTATTTAATACATTAGTATGCGTAAGTTAAAATTACTTGTAAACTATTGATTTTACGTAAAAGTTCATTCTGACCTTTCTGATAGAAAATTTTTTCCTCTATAAAAAAGTTTCTATTGACTTTTTGCACAAGTTCTATAGTTTCAAAGATATTATAAAACTTTACTCATTCATAATAAATTGCAACACGTATTCTCTCTAAATTATATATTATTGTACTCATTAACTTTTAAATTTAATGAAATTTTGATTTCAAACTCTCAAAATATAATAAATGTTATGATCTATTTTTTTAATCAGTTAACAGAAGAAACACTCGGGACGTCAGAAAAAACGGAGCTTGATGCACACTTTGAGCATTTATCAGAACGTGCTAATACTACTAAGATGTGGACCGAAAAAATTCTACGTAATATGGAAGCCATGTTAACACCAAATCCTGGTAATTATAATTCTATATATTTTTTTTTTATTTTTAATTTTCCTTTATTAAGGGGATATTCTGGTCTAGAGGCATGAAATTTCAGGTAATTTTTGAAGCACCGTAAAAAAAAGGCAATTAATATTTTTACTATATATTTTTTTATAAGTTATTTATTAACATTATAAGAATACATAAAGAAATAAAAAAATAAAAAAAGTTGAAAATTCAAAAAATTAGCAACTGATGAAGTGGGAGGGGGGGGGGTCTCAAAAAATTGGCACGTGACTATACCCACAATTCCAACCCTCCTAGCAATCGGAAATAAAAAAATCAAAAAAATCATTAATCTAGAGTAATGTCGCTATATTTGTAACTATGGTTATCCCCAAATTTCAATTTTTACTATTTTTAAAAAATTCGAAAAAGTAATTTTTTTTTTTTTTTTTTTTCTTCAGGCAGTCGCCATTTTGTGAATTTTTTTTTTTTTCAACTTTTCCGTAGTTATAGTCACGTGCCAATTTTTTGAATTTTTAACTTTTTTTATTTTTTTTCTGTATTCTTATAATGTTAATCAATCACTTATAAAAATATTGATTGCCTTTTTTTTACGGCACTCCAAAAATTACCTGAAATTTCATGCTTCTAGAACAGAATACCCCCTTAAGACTCAACAGCCATACTAAAGATTTTAAACATATCCAACATCGTAACTAATGTTACATTTTTTAATAATCTAGGTAACAGAATCGAAGATTTCTTTTACGAAAAAATTGACAAGAAGAAACCAAATCGTTTGAGTAATTTGGAGTACGTTGGTATCGATATGATTGAAGCGGGGAATGAATTCGGTTCTGGCGTGGCTTATGGTAAATACTACATCCAACTATTAATTTTTATTATCAACACTTCCTAATAATTTTATCTGCTTTTAGGCAGTGCTTTAATAAAAGTTGGCCAGTGCCAGCAGAAATTGGGTCAAATAGAGCGTGATTTTATTGGAACGGCGGCTAATTGTTATATTCAACCACTCAGAAAATTTCTTGAAGGAGAAATGAAGACCGTCAGCAAAGAAATGCATATTTTAGAATCCAAAAGGTTTATTTATAAAAATTTACTTGGTTTAAAAATTATTATCCAGTACTGAAAGTTTTTTTATTTTAGGCTTGACTTGGATGCTTGTAAAAATCGTGTGAGAAAAGCTAGAAGTATGCTCGGACAACAGAGTGTAAGTTAATAGATTATATTAAATAATTTTTATTAAATTATATTGTAATAAAAAAAAAAAAAATTGTTTTTTAATGCTGCATTAAATAGGACTCTGGTGTATCACCAGAAGTTTTACTTGATCAGGTATTACAGTTATTTATCTTTAAGTTTAGAATTTAAAATTCGAGTAGATAATTTTTTTTTTTAAGTAAAAGGGCTGGTAAATTTTTTGAGGTTTTGATTTTTAATTTTTAAAAATGATCAAAAATTTTTTTGTTAATACATTTAAACTATAAAATGAAAAATAATAATATTATTATTAAAGTAATAATTATATGAGAATAAATTAAGATTTTAAATTTTAACTAATCAAAGCATTAAGGGGGATAGCCACTGTGAGGATCGAAAAAATAGGTGATTTTCGGGAATTTTTTTGACTGGGATAATACAGGAATTTGGGGATCAGGTTTTTTTTTTTGTTTTATAAAGTATACATTGAAAATCATTCTTCTAAATTTTGATTGAAAAATATCATGTTGTTACAAAGTTATAAGCATTGTTGTGGAGCACCAAAAAATTTCCCCCACCACGGTGAGATCTCTACCTCAAAAACGGATTATCTAAAACAAAAAAATAGTCATTTGACACGCTGTCACAAAAATGACTATAACTCGAAAAATATTCGCAATTTTCATATGAAACTCTAGATACATATTTTTGAATATATAAACTTTGATTTAATAAAAAAAAAATTTTTTTTTTTTTAATTTCACAGTGGCTATCCCCCTTAATAAAATTTATTGAAAATTAAACTCTAATTAATAAAAATTGAAGACCGTATTGCTTCTAATTATCTAAATTATTACAAAAAATTTACTTAGATATAAAAAATAATTGTTTAGTTTCACGCTCGCAATACTTCAACCATAAAAATGATATTTATATATTTTTTTCTTAAAGTTAATTGAAAATAGAAAAATTTTTTAAATTTTTTGAAAAAACTAAAAAATTATGTATAGAATATTAATAATAATAATAATTAAAATTTTTAAAACCAAAAGGCAGAGAGGGAGTTGAGAGTTGCGCAGTCAGAGTTCGATAGACAAGCTGAGATAACGAAATTACTATTAGAAGGAGTCGCAAGCTCGCAAGCTGGACATTTACGTTGTCTCCATGAGTTTGTGGAAGCTCAAGCCCGTCATTATGCTCAATGTCATGCAATAATGCAAGAGTTGCAACGTGACTTAGCAGGGTAAGTTAATCACAATCTTTATTTTTAAAAATATATTAAAATAATTAATAAATTAATAACAAAGCATTTTTTAGACTTCATTAAAGCATTTGACACACGTAGAAAATGTATTTATTTATTTATTTTTTTTACAAGCTATCCAACTCTCGATTGGTGATTTAAGTGAGTAATGATTTGCTAATGCATCCTAATTTGTTAGTCAAAAACGTACTTGTAATTGGAAGAGATGCTTAGCGTCATTACTCATTTTTGGCAATCAAATTAAAAAATTAGCTTGATCTAATCCTAAATTGGTTTATGTATATAAGAGCTTTTGTAGTAATTTTAATGCCTGTTATTTTTCTGCTTAAACCTTTTTATTAAAATAAATTTTTAAAGTAAGTTTGTTATAAATATCCAATGGAATATCCACACATTTGTGGGCTTACAGGGCACGTCAACCAAGTCCTCTTCTAAGAGTCAACAGTGAAGATGTCATTGAATTAACTCCTTCATCAACAAATACACAAAACTCACCTAGCCATCAGACATCTAACTATGTAACAGCGACTTTTGAAACAAACGATACTTCAAAAGTATAAAAAATAATTTTGTTTTTATCTTATTCTAACTCTGACATTTTAATTGAAACTTATCCACTCGTCTATTAATGAATTTTAATCTCAATTATTGAAACTAATTATTTTATTTGTGAGTCAATAGTCAATTATTCTATCAACGCAATTTATGGTGAATAGAATTTTAATGAATAATTAAATATTTTAAACAGAGCTAATAATATTATTTATTTATTAAGCGCTAATATAGGCTTTAATATTCCGTCGTTGTTATTGTTATTTAATTATTAAAACATTATAATAAATATTAATTATATCAATACATTTATTAATTAATTAAGCTTATTAGTTTTAATAAATATCCTTTAGATATAATGGTGTTGGACTATGCATGTTTGTTGTTAATAAATATTTTTCCTTTTACTCTGTGCTTTAATTGAAGTCTAAAAAATTTTTTATCATTTTTTTAATTTATATTTTGTAAAAATTTTTTCTTACCTTATAAAGCCTAAAAATTCTCCTGTTAATTTATCCAAAATGTGTAATTTTTTTTTACTTATTTATTTTCTTCCTAGAACTAATCAACAGAATACAGAACCGGTAAATAATAGTGATCAAGAAAAAGCCCGCGTTGTTTGTGATTACGAACCACGAGATCCAAGTGAGCTAAATCTCATGAAAGATGAGGTAAATAAATTTGAGATTTAACGCCTGAATTTTTTTATACTCATTTTTTTTACTTTACACTGTATGTTAATTTTTATATTAAAAACAAATATTTACAGCAATTAAAAACTGTAAACTATTATCAATTAACGATCAATGCATTAATTTATGAATTACTCATTAAAATTTACATTAGTTTTTTACACTTGAATACATAATTAAAAGCAATATTTTTTTTACTTCTTTTTAAAATTATAAGTCTAGTAATTAAAATAAATAACAATGGTTTTATTGGCGTTAAATACTTACACTCAATAGAATATATCTTTTTTACTTGTAAATTTTATTATTAAACTTTGTTTAACTGTAAAATTATTTTATTGAATACATATTTATATATATTATATGCATGTATTTTTATTTTTAAGCCAATAAATATTGTACTTTAAGTTTGCTTGGATATTTTTATTTTTTGTTATTGTTGTTAGTATAGATGTATATTATTATCGGAGGAGTATATTTTGTAAGTAGATTGAATTTTATTTATTTTTTACCTCCAATTTTTTTTTCGCATATTTAGGCTAAGTAATAAAATTATTTCTTTAAATTTATCTTGAATTTAAGATTTTAAAATCATTTTTTATCTTTTTTCTTTAATTTTAAATTAGAAAAAATGAACTTTCTTGAAAAAAAATTTTTTTTAGTCAGCTGACAAAATTTATTTACAAAGATCGTAAAAAAAAGTTTGTTGAAAAATTTTATTTATTTTTTTAAGCAATAAAAAAATTTTAATTTTAACTTTTTAATGAATAATTTTTTTTTATTGTAAAAAATTCAGATAAAAAATTCAATAGTTTTAATTTTTATCCACACCAAAATATTTTTAAAAATTTTATCTGCAAATCTATAAAAATTTTTTTCTGCATGAAATTTTAGTGTGCATATTTTTGAAAAATTGCCAACTGAATTGTAAAATTTACACTAAATTAATTTAGTAAATATTCAACAATTTTTTAGGTAATATGTGTAACATCTATCCCAGGAGATGAAGATTATGTTATGGGATACCGAGGCTTGCAACGTGGAAAAGTTCCTAAAGCATATCTTGAAATAATATCATTTAACATGTTTAATTAATATCTCATATTATTATTATCATTTTAAAAGTTCAAACATTCCTCTAGAAATTATTAAAACAATAACCTTATATGTTCAATGAATAACGTAAGGCCTAAAGTACCAAATATAAAGCAAATTCCATCGCAATATATTTTTGTCTCGTAATATATTGTAAATAATAATTACAGCTAAATATCTTCTATCAGTAAATATATTTGTTGACTAATGTATTTAAATTATTAAAAGTTGTATCAAATAATTTAAATCGTTTTTTAAAATTCTACATGTCTAAATCAATATTTACAAAAAAATTTATCGAATTCTTTATTGTTAAAAAAATCTTAAACTTTCTGAATATAAATTTTTCCAAAATAAGTCTTTTTGACTTTTCCCTGAAGTTAAAAATAAAAAAATACATTTAAAGCTTGGAAAATTTTGAACTATAATAAAATTTTTTTTAAACATAATTTTTGGCTAAACTATTGAAAATGCAGAACATAAACTTTAACAAAATGTTTTGTAGAAAATTAAAGAGTTTAAATTTTTAGAAAAAACGCTTAGGATTATTGAAATGTTGCTATGTAAATTTATAAAAAAATTTGTTGTAGAATAAGCTGTTTTTTTTATTAAAATTCTTGAAAATTTAAAAACAAATAGAACAAAAATAAATATATATATTATTATTTTAAAAGTATAAAAATAAATTGTAATAATAAAAGACCAGAATAATAATTAATAAATGAAGCTGATGAATCAACATCCGGTATTTTATTGTCTTCTATTTGTGTCTTGGTGAAGGCAAGGTTGATGGCTCGCATCAGTGGATACTCTGTCCCGAGTAATGGATCTAAATAGTCTGTGTGCAATGACTTGCAGTCACCTCGAAAATCATCAGTGTCGATACTCCATACCATTACACCGCCTAAGCTCATTTGTTTTACATATTCAATCTGAAAATTAAAAAATTTTAATTATTAATAAAATATTTAAATTGAAAAAAGTCAGAGCAATCTTTAATTTTTATTCAAAAGATTCGAACTCGAAGATTATTGAAAAAATAATAAGATTTTTCAAAGAAGAAATTTTTAAAAGTTTTAATGGAAATAAATTCGGAACTGTTTTTAAATTTATTTTTGAAAAGGTAAAATTGTAACAAAACAATTATAAAAAATACTAGCAACCATGCACTATGTGACTGCCGTGACTTGTGAACCATCAGTAAATAAAATTTTCCTTTATTAAATAATGATTTTTGTTAAATTGCACTGTACTTTTTAAACTACTGACATTTTTAAAAATATAAACTCATCTCGATGTTACACTCATTAAGAGCTTTCATTTGAGTACCCACATGCATTTTGATATATTTTTCATATATATATATATATATATATATAAATATATGAAAAATTGATGTGGGTACTCAAATGAAAGGTCTTGATGAGTGTAATATCGGGATGAGCTTATATCTTTAAAAATTTCAATAGTTCACAAGATAAAAGATCATTTCTTAATTATGTATCTAGAGATAGAGCATTTTCGAATGCAACGTAAATACTTATCATAAATTGATTATTGGCTAATTCTTTTAGTAATATAGATTAAAGGAAAAATTTTACATGAAGAAATTAAAAAAAAAAAAACTGTATTCAATTGTAGAAAGAAATTTTTTCAATACTCTAAGAGAAAAAATTTATTTTGAAAAAAATAAGCATTGTTGTAGCAAAAAATTAATTCGTTCAAAATTTTAAACAGTTTCATTTCTTAGCTGCAGAAATACAAATTTTTCTTACAATAGATTTGGAAAAATCAATTTTAGATAAAAATTTACAAGTTGTCTACCTAAAATATTTTTTTTCCAAAACAAAAAAACTTTTTTTCAACAAGAAATTTACTGTAAGAAAAATTTTTATTTCTTCAACTAAGAAATAAAATTGTTTAAAATTTTCAACAAATTAATTTCTTATTAGAACATTGCTCATTTTTTTTTTTCTAAATAAATTTTTTTTCTCTCACTGTAGTAATTTCAATTTTTTCCAATTAGCATGAAATATCCCAATTATGGCAAAAAAATATATACAAATTTAGAAACTAAAAAATTCTTTAATCTTTTGTTAATAAAATTGTAAATAGTTGTAAATTAGAAATCAAAATTAGTACTAGGAGAAGATATTATACCAAGAAGAAGTGAAGCTACATTTTTAATCTTGCCAGTCAAAAAAATAATTCTAAAATATCTATTTCAATTAAGAATATAAAATATAATCCCTGATTAAAAAAAAATTCAAAAGTATTGAAAGTAACGAAATTTGAATTCTTCTTAATAATTCTGATTAATTTTTATGAACAGTGAAAAATTTTGCGTTAAAAAAATTTGTGTTAAATATTTAATTCAACACTTTTTTGTGTTGATTTAAGAAAATTAATCCAAACAAGTGTTAAATATTTAACACAAAATTTTTTACTGTATACTTCTTAATTTCTTCTTCACTTATGAAGAATTGAAATTGTAAATTATTTTTAATTCTTTTTTTTAACCAAGGACATAAACCATAAATACCTTTTTCATAAAACTTTTGGGGTTGTCATAAACAACAACCTTATCATCATGAACAGCATAAGCAGTGTTAGTATCATCATCCCAGCCAGTTCTCCAACTCATTGGATTGACAATTAACTCCTTGCAAATTTCGTTGTAGCCCATGAACCCATCTTCTCGAGTAAAATTCCCCTGGAACCCAGTGGCCAAAGCAGCGGCGCCCATCGGGCTCTGAGTGCCGTTCAAAACACTAGTGGTAATAAAAGTACGTCCGTACATCGGTAACCCCAGGACTAGTTTATCTGCTGGAGCTCCTAATTGTAATAAATAATCAATCGTAGATTCAACGCAAAGATTGTCATTGCTTAAACATTTCAAGGGTGCGTTGGCGCCCACTTTTTTGTCCCAAGCTCCGTGGTAGTCGTAAGCCATAACATGAATCAAGTCCAGATATTTCGATATTTCTGACACATTGTAAGCTGTGTCAATCGTCGCTTTATCGGCACTAATTGCTGCGGTTAATAATAAATTACGCGGCTTCAATTCCTGGCTCAATTCTTCGACTAGGCTCACAAAGTTTTTCCTGTCATACGGCGCCCCGCCGCGTTTTCCTGGGAATTCCCAATCTAAGTCAAGACCATCGAAGTTGTAAGTTCTGAAATAAGTTTTTTAATTATTTTTATTTCTGCCTGATTTTGAGGTACTTAATTTTTAACTTACGTTAGGAAGTTTATGACACTGGTGATAAATACATTTCGGCGCGTTGGTGAAGATGCTAAAGCTGAATAATTTGCACTGGCTTCATTCCATCCGCCGATTGCCAGCGTTACTTTCAATCCTGGACTTGTTCTTCGGAGTTCTGTTATTTTTTTATAAGAACCTTTACCTGTAAGTTATTACAATGGTTAATTGGCTTATTGTACTGGAACAGTAATTGATATTGATGTATAATTTTAGATGCTCAGGTTAGTAATTTAGTCATTATCGTTAATATAATTATCTTAATTATTTAAATTTTTATAAAAAATTGTTATGAAAATTTAATTAAAAAAATTATTATTATTTATTAAATTTATTTAAAAAATTCCACATTAAAATAATTATTGAATATCTCTTACAATTATACTGATGAATTTTTTTCATTATTAGATAAATATAAATTTCATGTAATAAATTTTTCAAAACTTTTTTTTCTATACTTTTCTTCTTATTTTTATAATCAATTTTTGTTATAAAAATAACGAATTATTAAAAATCTATGAAATTTTAAGTATCAGATAGGGTAAATGCACCAGTTGTTGACCGGTCACCAATTAGTTGACCGATGTATAAAAAAGTTAATTAATTAATATTTTACAAGGGTTTTTTTTTTCTTAAAGGATTAAAATAAAAAAATATAGCTTTAAAAAAATATTCAGAGTTTGTTTACAACGCAACCAGCCATAAAGCGGTCAAAAATAACTACCGTACAATTGGAGA